TTTTTTCCCTCGTCTGCTCTCCCCCCAACACCCTGCTGCGTTCTCCTCTCTTCACCCCGAAATTGGTGGGTCCCCCCCCCCCCCCCCCCACTGAATCCTTCCAAAGTTTTCAGTGATCCCCTCTTTTGGGTTCACAGTTACCACTCATCCCCACTTTTGTTCTCCTAAGATCAAGTGATTCCCCCCCCCCGAAAAAAATCCTTCCCCCCGGCAATAAATAATCACCGGTCACTAATGGTCATATTATTTCTTGTCTCAAGATCCAACCACCGGAGACACGACAGACTGGACATTTGGGGTCCTAGGAGTTGTACATTCCTACTGTGTGGAACTCCGACCAAAGAGCTACTCCGATGGGGGATTTATTCTCCCACCGGACAAAATAATCCCCGTGGGGCAGGAAACGTTTGCTGGCCTAAAAGCTCTCACAAGAAACATGGAATAATGAAGAAATAAGCAAAACACAAGGATATTTGAAATATTTAGCTGTGAAGTACTGTAAAAGACACCTTTCTTGATTGTTTGAGAAATAAAAATCGATAAAGAAACTTGACCGTGTTAAAATTGTTATTGTTTACCGAACTTGTGCGTCAAAAACTGAACCGTGATCGTTCTATTCATTAATCCATCCTTATGATATGTAAATTACTGATTTATCATAATGAATCAAAGTTACCAGCTAAAGTATAATGTTTTAGTTTCAATTTAAACTCTTTAATTAAAAAAAAGTTTAAGAATGCTTTGTCAATAAATAAATGGATTTATGGATCAGAACGTTTTTAAAACCATTTTATATGAACAAAAACATAAAACGGTACCTTGTTACGTGTTACACAAGGCAGCCGGTTAAAAATGGGTCTGTCTAGTCAAAAGGTAGATGACGCAATCCTAAGTCTTCTAAAACTGAAAATTAGAGATATGGAGAGAAACTTTCTTGTGAAATTTCGTTGGCGTCATTTCTAATGTTCATAGCAGTACCTAAAAACCGTCACCTTACGTAAAGTTCGCGTCTTCAAAACGTTTGTCATTTAAACCACAGCTTCAGGATTTGAAGGTATGTTTCGTAAAGCAGTTGTCATGCGCCGAATGGTATTTCTGTGAATTCGTGTTCTGCCAGTTTGAGGCTGTAATTCGGCTTTTATTTTGTCTTTGCATGACGTGAGATATCTTTAACTATTTTCTCCAGCCATACCTTGCCAAAACAACCGTGAGCCACTGACAACGCCGTATGTACCCTTTTCTGTCGATATCAGCACCACTGACGTCAATTGTATTGATATCGGCAATTACACACTTTCCAAATATGGTTAACGTTATGATGATAAATCCGATAATAACAACGAGAACTAATCAGACACGTACAGCTGATGATGTTCTCTGGTCGGCTCTGTAAACTCAAAGCACACCACAACGCACAGAAAAAATGCCGCCTTTAGCTGTTCATCTTGGCTGGCTGAATTCTGCGGCTACGTCGGAAACATGCAAAACAGCAGACACTCCACGTCGACATGAACACTAGAGGTTGACACAGTTATAAGGTGTGGGTCGGGTTCACTAATCAGTACAGTAGTTAAGAGAGGATTTCGTAATTTTGCAATGACGTCCAATAATAAAAACACATCTTCTAGATCTGAAAAAGTCTCAATGTGAACAAATTCATCCCCTTCCAGAGTAATCCACCGTAACAGTTGTATGAAAAATTGTTGTTGTTGTCGTCGATGTTGCTGATTCTGAAATTCAGTTTTGTTTGTAGTGTTTTCTGAAGAGGCTTCCCTCAGATAAGTCAGTTCAAACTCGTCACGTCTTGAATCGTTTTCTATCTTTTGAAGCTGAAAAGCAACAAAGATTAAGCGACGTGGTGAGATTTGACAGCATCAGTGGCAAGATGTACCCTCCCCCACCACCTTCCTTTTTATATACCTTGCTCTTCCCAAGTGAATGCTGGGGCTGGATATACCATATTCAAGCTGTATATGTAGCTTTATAGAGCATATCATTATATTTGAGGATTTCACCTTCTAGACTCAAATTTAGAAGCATCTTGTACTCGGGTGCAATAAATAGCGCCACAGGGACGTACTGCTTTCACATTCAGCGGTCTTTCTATAGGATTTATCCTACATCCACTCTAAGGTTAGAAACACCTTTTACTTTGTAATACCCAGTTCACCAGGAAAGAACAGCTCAGTAGCTTTCGTTTGAATGGTTTTACTTGGGGATTTCTTCGGGCACAGCCCTTAACATGAAAACTGTCATGTAGGTATATTACGTGATTATAAGAAGCAGTGGAGGAAATTATTGCTCATTACCTTTAGAATGAAAATTAAAGACTTATAAATTCAATTTGAATGCAACATGACTTTTAACCTTAAAACTACTAAAACGCCACGGTTTTTTTTTAGGAAGTAGCACACTTAACATAGCAAAAAGCTGCTTGAGAAATATTTCTAGCTTTTGACGTAATAATCACCCTAAGTGAGGGGGTCCAGTTTCCAGAATCCGGGAAATTGTTGCTTGTGGACTCTAGAACCCTGCGCTTTGGAAATCCAGGATTCAGTTCAAGGAACACAGAATCCCACTAACGATTGGAATCCGGAATCCAGATTCCGCAATCCAGTACCTGGAGTCCGGAATCCCAACCGTGGAATCCAGAATCCAAGACTGTCTTGGAATACCTTAAAGCGTTTCTGTTTACAGCTATGTTTAGGGCTGTCATTAGCAACCGCTTCTCGAAGAATTTCTTTAAGTTGCCTTTTTCCCACTCTCCTGAAGGGTACAAATTGAGAGGTGCTGAAATGGCACTCCACGAACTGGCCCTCTGCATGAAGGACGGGCCGTCCAGAGGTGAGCTCGCTGTAGCGATCACCACCGCCTTCTTGAGAGGTTTTGTCTGAGTGAAACATGATTTCTAAAATTCAATAAAATTGACTTTGTGAAAATAAAATTCTTCTTCTTCTTTTCTTTTCTTTTTTTTTTTTTTAACTCATTTGGCCTTCTTGAAGTCGCAAAATCTCTGCAAAAAGGGATTAAAGGTCCCAGTAATTCCACCATTTTCCGTTTAAGGGCTACGTGTCACAACACGTATCATGTACCCCCAGACTGAACGTTGGTCAATTAGGCACACAATAATAATAATAATAATAATAATAATAATAATAATAATAATAATAATAATAATAATAATAATAATAATAATAATAATAATAATAATAATAATAAACATTCGAAGAACAAATCTCTCTCGGCCTGTTGCTTATGAAAAATTTTTGTTTTAATTGATTTGATTTTCTTAAATAAAATGAATGAAGCTATGCTTCTCTCCTGTATTTATAAACGACTATTGCTAATTGACCTTGCTCTGCACAACAATAAACAAAATTCGGCAGATAAAAATATCCCGTGACTGTTTGATCTTCAAAACACCTTTTTGCGGAGATGATTTATAAAACCTACAGATTTCAAAACTTGGAAAAATCCATCTTCGTTTCAACTCCTTTTATTTGCATTTGCAAGATATTTATTGTGGTATCTTCGCGTTGGTTGTAATGTTGTCTTATTTACACTTATCGACTTGCTACGAAACGTAAGTCTGGTAAGTTATCTTACCTCAAAGCCTTGTGTGTAACTGCACGAGAGGTGATATTTAAACTTGCAACGGTTTACATTGAAAACAATTCATCGAATGTAAATATAAAATGCATCCCCACCGATCTTCACGTAAAAACATTTCAGGGAGAAAAAAAGAGGACTTAAATTATGCAAAAAAAACCAAACAAACAGACAAATATCCGTGGTCACGTCTCAACCCCTTAATCCGCAATATCCACATACAAATTCCCCACACTGATCTCCATACATTTCCTTATAGAATTAATTGAGAAGATCTGTTTTAAGATTAAATAATTTCCCTTAAGTGATACTTTTGTCAATTCTCATAATCTTTTATCGAGATTATGTAGTAAAATTGTCAGGAGAAAGGTAATGTTGATCACATCGGACTTAAAGGGTAAGACAATCAGGTCCGAACCTGTTATGTGTTTGACATGCATTGCACAATCGAGGTCAAAAAGCCAATTATATTAGATTTCCGGCTGACCACGCCATGAAAACAGTTCTTTGGTTACAGAGAGAAATTGTCACTAATATATATAGAGTAGGTAGTATTACATCACAGCGAATCAGAGACCTTTGTCTGTATCGGAACATTTTTCGCCATTAACATGGCCTAAAACTTGTAGTTGTTATTCCATTTTTCTGGATTTATGCTGGTTTGTTTGCAAAAGGCTGAAAATTTATTGGCTATGTAAGCACATGAATCCTTCTTAGACTGTAAACTTTATGAAGTTTTATAAATTCATTAATTGACATGATTATTTTAATGGACTGCCTTTTATAGTTAACAATTATTCTTTGAAATCAAGGTGAATAGGGGCTAAATATATATAGGGAGGCGCGAAGCGGCGAGGTAGATATTCCTAACCGAGATTGAAAAGAATAATTGTTTTAGTATATACACACGAGGTGATCTCAACAAAATCAGAGAGGAAACCATTAAAAAGTACGATTTGATTGACAGATCAAATCACGCGAAAGTTTAAAATTAGATCTTTGTAGAATTTTCAAACATGGCAATTCACAAGCTTATCACTTCGCAAACAACAGCGTAATGGCTTAAATGGAACCTTTAAAAGTTTGAATTGTTTCCTTACCTGAGAAGAAAGGGAGAGCTTTGTTATTTTCTGTTCACTCGGCAAGTTTATAGCTGAAAAGGTTTGTTGTGTCGTTCTTCGCTTGAAGAGCTGACAAAAATGGCAGCTCGGTTCCTCGAGATAAGACCGTAGTCTTCATGTAGCATTCTTTCTCCTATTTACTTGAAACGTAGAATATCTGCAAACATTTGCTTTTAAATTTGTTTGTCGGCATAAATAAACTCGGATTTTTGGGCCAAATTTTCGTGTTAGGAAACGCTTAGTTCACGAAACGGCCTCTTCTACGCGAATAGACGGGAGTTGTAAACAATGCATCGACCACTGACAAAACTCAGCTACAGTAAATCTAACCTCCCCGCACTGGACGTCCTTTGGGTTTCGTTTGTCACGCACTCATTTCTAATGAATGCGTGACAAACGAACCCCAAAGGACGTCTGCGGGGAGGCTACATTAAATCGAAAAACGCCGTTTTGAATCCATCAAAGTGTTTTCTAGCCTAAAAAAAGTTCATCCCTAGGATTTTGTCGACTTTTAAAAGGTCGTTCTCTTAAAAAATGGGGAAAAAACCGAGCTCACACGTTATCCACTCGCAAGGAGGTGAATATCGTTGAATAGCCCGAGATAGCGAACCAATCAGATTGCTTAAATCACCAAGATCACTGAGTGTGTATATACTAATAATTATAACATAAAATAACACATAATTATTAATTAAAGCTGGCCAGTCAAATCATTCGAAGCTATGGTCGTAGCATTTTAGGAAGAGCAGAAGACTAGAACGGCGGAGGTAGATGAATATGCTTGGAAAACATGTTAAGCAAAGGATTGCCGTCTCATTGTTACTCATGCCAACAACTGCTGAACAGCTCTCCTCGATGGTACAGGATAATGCCATATTGGAACTTTTTTAGCAGACAAAAACAACGTCACCTGTTACCCTTTTGTGGAAGAAAACAGTCAATTTTCCATTGCTTCTTTCTTCCGGCAAACGCATAGTTTGGGGTCACATGGCGGCTTTTCCTTTAATCTAAATTCTTGTTTCTATCTCCGAGGACACGAATCTCCACTAGTCATACAGGGGTATGGAAAACGCATAATTTGTTTTCGTTATGCAGTAAAATAGTCCGATAAAAAAGCGAAATATGGATTGTTTGTGTCATTTAACTGATATGCACATGTCATGGGCTTAAACCCGGGGCCAATCAGGGGAATTGTAATATGAAAGGAACGAAGTTGGAAATTTCCTGGCGGAAAAAGGCGTTGGGATGTAACGTGTAGGACAAAGTTCGCGATTTTACTAAATTTTGAATCCCCCCCAACCCCTTTCACGTTGCACTTAAAATCATAACGAAAAGTTTTTTCGCCCCAGGTTCTGAGATCCTTCCCCTTTTTTCCCCAACATATTCTCCTGGTTGGCCTAGGCTCCTACCCCAAGGCGAAGCGATCCGGACATGTGCAGTACTCGAAGAAGGAGCAACAAATTGTCAGTCAGTTTTTTTTCAGTTTTTTGCTTGCCTTTTACATGTAAAAGTACAGAAATTAACCGTGATTCAAACAATGATACTTTACTTTGTTATGCTAGAAAAAAAATTTGCTCGTCGTGTATTAATTTCTTATATAATAGTAAGGAACGGATTCCAGTTTCCAAAGAAGGCAGCGAATATAGTAATTTCTTCCTCTATCTCATTGGGGAAAGAATGTTACCCTGTGTGGATAAAGGCCAAAGAACTCCGCTTAAATAAGGAATTAATATGGTTGACATGTTTCGTTTGGCATTCAGTTTACATTCTTTGTTCCATTATCACTTTGCATTTATTTGTCGACCACTCAAATTTCTTGTCAATCCATTACTTTCCTCAAATTTTTCTATAAGCTTTTATACTTGAATTAAGCCTTGACAAAGGGTATGAAAGAAATTCGAGTATATAGTACTTGCCTAAGCCTTCAGGCATACTGACGAGTTCAAGCAATGGCACAGCGACGACTGTAAAAACATTTCCGTAGTTTGAAAACTGCGATAGTTTTTATTTTTCGATGGGAAGTTTTCAATAAGCGACTCCGTTACTTCAGAGGATGCAAATTGATATGATTCCTTCTCCAACTCTTCCAGCTTTTAAGAGACAAACAAAACTGTCTTTTCTTTTTCGACTCAACGTCCCATTTTCGGAATATCGTGACCTTCTAACTACTCTTTGATTCCTATGTTGCTGAAAAGGGATAAAAACAATGAGCGTAGATTTAATTTTGCACCATACGTGCTTCCCCCGGTGATGCTGAAGGCTTAAAATAAATGATTTTGTTTAGAACTGTTTTTGCGGTCTGAAAGAAGTGAATTGCCTTTTTTTAAAGCACGTACTGTTTCGCTAACAAAACCCACTGACAACTTAATTCCACGAAAAACACGATATCTGGTCCCGAATTGCTGAAACAACTGAGGCACATAAGCAACGTGAAATCGAGGATCGACTCAACTTAATTCCAGTCACTGAGACAATTACGTACTGCTCATTGAAAGATCGACAAGGATATCGTAAGTGTCTATAGCATTAACATGTTCATTTCCTTTCATACATTGTGCAATGTTTAAAGTAACCAAAATTATATTCAGCTAGTTTCGTCGCAAACGACCGGCCTGTACCTTTGGGTTGGGAAGCTAAGCTTACTCATGCCGAAACTGAAAGCTCAAAAAGGTTATATGAGGCGAATAGTACAGGGTGTCAAAGGAAGGGAGGCGGTGGCGTACCTATCACTGAATTAGCCATCACGCGTCATGGAAAAGAGGTGCAATTGCAGTAAGTTAACATGGCAATAAATCAACCCTTGGATGAATCAGCTCTAATAAATTGCTTTCAGAGTCCTTTTTGGGTAGAAAAGAAAATGATGTCATGAATGTCTGTACTTCTAGTTTCAAATGATATTCACCAATCACAGAAATCAATGAGAAAATCCACGCGTGACGCACCACCTATGCCCAATATTGCCTCACGCAGCTAATGTTTGCTCAATCACGCATCACGCTGATAATTTGTGACCCATCACGCGTCACGAAAAACCCTTTTGCCATCCCGATAGTAATAGTAAAGTTCCTCCCGGGTGAACAATTTCCCAAGGGGTGGGGAAATTTAACCCGACAAAGTCC